CCCTCTGCCTGTGTCTCTGCCTCTCTCTCTCTCTCTCTCTCTCTCTCTCTCTGTGTGTGTGACTATCATAAATTAATTAATTAATTAATTAATTAATTAATTAAAATAAAAATAAATGAAAAGTTAGGGCCTTACTGGTTTCTAAATATTAAGAGTGATAAGAAATTTCTGTCAAATTATTTAAATGAAATTTCAATAGTAGAAATCTGGTCTAAGAGCAGCACTGTCAATATAGCCAAAATTGTGTCCACATGGTAAACATGATGAAGTCATCCCAAAAAGTGAAAGACCCTTAGTCCAGGTATAGAAGCAGAAGAGAATAGAAGGACCAAGAACTGGATGGATTTTTGGTACATGTAGGAATAGTAAACTGTTGAACCTGAAAATAACCACCCTCTGAGACTGCAAGCACTCAAAAGTACATTCATCCTACAAAGGACCAGTACCCTGAATTTGTATACAATACAAATAATTTTTAGTTATAAATGTTTAATATTTCTTGTCTGGATGGCATGCTTAGAGTTTGGGGCTTTCCCTTCACATTTCATTGGATTATCATAGCAGCTAAGGTAGTAGGCAAGTCAGATTATCAGCCTACAGTTATAAGTGAGTGAACTAGGAGAGTTTAGTGATTTGCCTGATCATTCTGTCTCTCATTGGTAATGCCTTACTGATCAGTGCCCACTGATAAGGGTTTCATTACCAAAAGGAACAGATCCATCTCTTATCCCTGTGTTCGCCCACTCTGAAATTGGGAACAGAATAGAAGTTGAGGTGACAAGAGAGGCAAAGAGAATTATGAAGAAATTCTACTGGATCAGTTCTGTTCCATTCCTGATTGGAGAGAAAAGCAAAAGAAGGCTAAAAATTCACCACGAACTAGAAGGCACTTGCTGCTGAGCTTTGTCTGCCATGGGTATTCTCTTACCTCTTCTAGTAACTGGTACCTAGATTCCCAGACCACCTCTGTTCCTAGGGAAACCCACTGCTTAGTACATGCATTGCAGTTAAGGATACATTTGACCAGCTTCTAATGTTTATTAGCTGGCTTTTCCCTGGGATGTTTGCCGTTGGACAATAGAGCCGTGTTGTTCTTGTAATACATATATTCTCATTCTCCACAGAGGCTATGTACCTGGCCTCTTAAGTGGAATTGGAAAGACACAAATGCTTCTGAACATAAGCTTATATTTCCTTTGCTCCTTTGGGTACATTTTTTCAGTAAATAGCTAAATAGAAGGATACCACACATAGTGCTCTGGACAAGTCCTGTGCTAACAGCTAGGGATCCTGATTCTCTGGTCTGTTGTGCTTTATGTAACTAGTTAAATTTAAGTACAGTCTTCATGTTTCCAGATTCCAGCTCTGAGAACACGTAAGAAGTAAAGCTTAGTGAACTGATTTTTGGTAGCTTCTAAGAGACTAATATAGGTAAGCCTTTGATGCCCATGAGAATTTTTTTGACCTGTCAAGACTGTGCTCCTCTTGACAGTGGTGGCTTTTAAAAATCATATTTGTTTTAATCAACAAGTAAACATTTGAAAAAAGAAACAGGAAATGATATCTTGAGAGCCTAAGATAGCATTCAAACTATTAGCAAAATACTATTAGTAAAAAAAGTAAGATTCATTCACTTAAGCATAGAAATTGCATTTCTGTATTACCATGTGCAGATAAATAGAACTAATCTCTAAGTTTTGAGTATTACCTGATTTTCTACTAATTAAAAAATACTTTTATCTCCTAGAGAACTGTTGATCAGAAATATTTTTACCTAATTTACCTTCACTTGTGTGTAATGATTTGTTGGATGTCACAAAAGGAATATGAGGGCAAAAGGAACCACAGATAAGGTGCTTGCCTGCTGGGCATTAGGTTTCCCATCACAGCGAATATTATTTCAGATGCTCACTACTCCTGTCATTAATTGGCAGAAATCCATAGACCCCATAAAAGATACTCTTCATTTTCACCTGATGTAATTTGCCTGTAAGAGCAATTGCATATGCAACCACTTCTCCGGTATAGTAATAGGATTGTTTTTCAGTGCTAATTTTTCTGTATCTTTCTTACAATAAAGCGTTCCTGTCCTTGATAATATGTTTTTCCGTTAGGATCCAGTTTAGTAGTTATTCTCTCTCATTTGTTCAGCTGCCATACATTTTTATTTCAAATCAGTTTGCTTTTGAAAACGAAAAATACGAGGGGTGCTTGGCTGGCTCAGTCCGTAGAGCATGCAACTCTTGATCTCAGAGTCAGTCGTGAGTTCAAGCCCCAAGTTGGGCATAGAGTTTACTTTTAAAAAGAAAGGAAAAAATGCACTTTTGAAAGTTTAGTTGGCTCTTAAATCTTTGATGCCTTTCATTTTTAGTAAAGCTATCACCTGTACCATGGTCTTTACCTGTTTCTCCTTTCCCAGTCCCCAAGTAACAACTTATAAAATCTAGTTGATGAGAGTTCCAGTCTTAGTTCTAGTTCCAATCCAAAATAATTGAGATTTCTTTTGGTAAATCTAGTTAGTATACTTGGGTAATATGCCAAAAACGTAGCATGTGATCCATAGCTGATAACCTTTATCTATTTACCTACCTATGCCTTTCTCTCTGTCTCACCCCCTCCTTTCCTTCTTCTCCCTCTCAATTAAACTTTAAGAAAGGAAAAGGAATCAAGTAACATTTTGCCAGTTAATCTGCTAGTGAAAGATACAGACCGCTGGAGGTTAATGGCATTAAGTTTGATTGAAGCAAATCATTACTGGTTTGAACTACATAATCTTTAGCGTCTTTTCAACTCCAGAATCCTAACCTTTAAAAGTACAAAAAAAGCTAAAGTTAGAAATTGTTTTTTTATTAGAACATATGAAAGTAACATTCTTTTTTTTTTTTTTTTTTAGTTTCTCTCTAAACACTGAATAGATACAAGTATTCCCATTGTATTTTGATATCAATTCACCTTTTCCTCCTATATTTTCTGTCATCTGACTCTCCCAGCCTTCTTGAAGGCAGAGAATTTTTTTGTTTTTTGCTGCATACCACTGCCTGGGCCAAAAAAACCTCTAAGTGCTCAGTAAATAGTTTTTTAATAAAATAATTCATTAACTGTTTTTGCAACAGACCTGGGAAACACACACAATGAGCACATCTCCACTCCTATTGATGGCTCACAAAATACACTCTTTAGGGGAGATAGGTAGTATTCCTGTTTTTCAGATCTTTTTAAATTGATGGTTGAACTGGTATTAAAATTTATCTCTGACTTTGCTCTTGGTTTCCTGCTAGACCTATCCTAGCATGTTTTTCCTATGGTTTCAGTCTGCTTGGTTCTCTTAACCTGCCCTCTTCTCTCCCCTTTCCCTCTCCTCCCCTCTCCTCCCCAACCACCACCACTCCCCCAGAGAAAACTTAAGCCTTTGAAGCCTTAGTCACTTTCTCTAAGTAAGTCACTGTTTAAAGAAACAGGAGAAATACTGCACCTGAGTTATATCTAACTCCTCGAAAAATTACTGTGAAATAATTGTATTTTAGATGTACCAGTCCGAATTCCTTTTATTCATTAGAGACAAAATTGTTCATTTTGCCCTTCCTTATGAAAAATCAGACTTGCAGGGGCACCTGGTTGGCTCGGGCATATGGTCTCTAGGTCATGAGTTCAAGCCCCACATTTGGTGTGGAGCCAACTTAGAAAAGGAAATAAAAATTAGACTGGCATAAAGATACCAAAATAGAAAATTAAGCAATTACACCTATAATTGCCACCCTAGGACTAGTTGGCTACTTTTAATTTCCAAAGTTTTACTTTAATATATTCCTTATTAGTAAATAGTGGGTACATCTGTGCTTTCTATCATTATGACAGATACTGTGTTTGACTCCAGTTGTCAACTATTCCTATTGATAAAAACCCAGCCATCTCATTATATCTCTTGTGCAGGTGGAGGTTGATATTGACATTGCTACTGGTTTCGTGGGACAATTTCTTTTAGAATGACCTGTGGTTTCTTCCCTATTTCTGTATCTGACTTTTTTTCTAAGAGGAAGTTGAAATGCTTTAAAATACATGCTCATTGGTGATACACAATAAATCTTTCCTTCTGCCAGATGCTGCTGTTGCATTTGTAATACCACTGAGATTAGATCTCTCAACCTCCAAACTAAATTAAACCAACAGCATCTCTCTTTGGAAAATATACAGTTTTGCCAATTATGACAACAGAATGAATTACAGAAACTACGTTTTGGAGTGCCAAGGTGGCTCATTTGGTAAATCATCCAACTCTTGATTTTGGCTCAGGTCGTGATCTCAAGGTCAAGAGATCAAGCCCTGCACCCTGTATTGGGCTCAGTGCTCAGCATGGAGTCTGCTTAAGATTCTCCCTCTGCCCCTTCCCTCCTCTCTCTCTACCTCTCTCTAAAATAAATAATCCTTAAAAGAAAAAAAAAAGTTGGTCACTGTATTCTAGTAGACCTCAGAAAGTAGGGGGGCTTAATACATAGTGAAGACTAGAACTCTCACAAGAGAGTGGGATCAAGTCCGTCTTGCACTTTAATGTATTACTAGCATCATGTAGCAGGTGTTTGGTAAATAATATTCTTGAATGAGTGAGACAGTAAGGGGAAGAAAACAAAAGTTTTCAGGGAAGAGAGTTATTCTTTAAGTTTCTATTGTAATAGATAAACCTGACATTTGGGAAGGATATGTTCATTTTCTCTTCCTCTGAGTTCTTTAGCCTCTGGCATTGGAGAGATTAGGTCTTGAACAAATAACATAGCATGATGGTCATATCCATTTTAGCAGAAGTGTTTGAAACAAGTATCTCTGCCACCAAATATTGCAGTCACACCTGCCTGGAAAGTAACAGAAACATTTGAGATGCCTCATTATTTGAAAGACTTCAGTGAAAAAGCTAGAGTCATCCTATTTGATAAAGCATATAAATAAAAGATTTATTTTGAAATCATGCTTATGTTCTGTAAGACTTTCTTCATTCATTTTTTTTTTAGGTGGCATCCTTAGCTGGACCTGGAGGGCAAGTGGAAATAGAACAAAACTTTCTTAATAATAAACTGAAGACAATCACTGCTTATTTTGGGGACCTGATTCGAAGATCAGCACCTGAATCATAACTGTGAGGTGGTACGGGACAAAAAGTTTATGTGTGGCCAGAACACTATGCAGATGAGGCCCTTGGAATTTCTTTCTGTATTCACTGATATTTTGTACTCATGATCTTATATCACCATATGAAATGGAAACTTACAGTAGATCAAGGAATATGAATGAAGTGCTTTGACATCTTTGGACAATGTTACTTCTGTATATTATACAGTAGGATAGTAAGTGTCTGAAATGGAAAAGGTAAGCTTTCCCTGTGCTTACTGTCAGACAATGTGTATATATGTCTGTGTGTGTCCATTTTTTTTTTTGTAATTACACGTTTTGGTTTAACATCTTTGTGTGAATAAAAAAAACAATTACTGTGTTTTTTCTAACATAGAGATATAAGAAAACAATGAATGAGCTATGAGCTATAGTCTATCCATCCATTTGACCCCTGCTGAAATAAATAATGTTAAACCTCTAAGGGAAGAAACATAAACAGTTCCAAAGGGTACAAAATAAAAAGTAAAACTCTCACACCCCCTAGACGTACCCTTTATTCATTTCCCTAAAGATAACTACAACCAACAGTATTTTATATTTCCTTTGGAAGGCAGAAAAGGAATTGCAGTATACTTTAATACACTTTTTTCCCTCTAATTGATGCACTGTTCAATACTCCTTCCTTTTTTTTGCTTAATGAATCTTTTTTTAAAACTATGTACATTTTTACAGGTATTTCTTGAAGACCTTTCCATGTCCTTACATACATGCAGATCTACCTCATACCTTTTCATGGCTATCTTGTATTTTTTTCTAGATACACTATTGGGCTGTTTGCAATTTTTTGCAACTATCAACTATTATGGGCATCATCAGGCATTTTAATTTTATTATCTCATGTGTCAGAAAAATAGTATCTTATTATTTGTATGTATTCTTTAATTATGAATGAGATTTGAGCATATTTTCATATATTTTGTTCTTATAGTTTTCCCCTTTTAAACTGACTATTCCTATCTTTCATCAATTTGTCTTTTGAATTATTACCTTTTTCTTAATAATATGCATGAATTCTTCATAAATTAAAGAGCCTTTGTCTTCACTGGGTGTTGCAAATATGTTTTTCCAGTTTTTTATTGGCTTTTGCTTGTTTTGTGACTTTTTTATTTGCCATACATAAATTTTTAAATTTTTATGTAGTCAGACTTACCAGTCTTTTTCTTTGTTGCTTCTGTCTGGGTTTATGATTTTTTGAAAAATCTTTACCATTCCCAGAATACAAATATATTTGTCTAAGCTTTTTTCTAGAATTTTACTATTTTTGTGTCTTTGCTCCATCTGGAATTTACTTTTTAACATCTTTTTATTTTATAGAGTGAGCTATATTTTGTAACATTGGGGTTTATATTTTTTCTATTAAAATGGCAATGAAAGGAAGAATGTGTGTTGCTTAATTATTCATCTAAAAAAGCGTATTCAGTTAATTGTACAGGCAGATAAAAAGACACGGACATAGTACTCTGACTATCAAGGATCTGAGATCTTTAACTAATGTGATCATGTTAAATATTAAACAAAACATGGTTTAGGCTGGGATGGAGCTAGGAGTATTGAACTAAATTGGGGGAATTTCCAGTAAGTACTGGAAAGAATAACTATTAGATAAGAACAACTTTGTTGGAGAATAAAGAAGCAGTGCTAACTGCTGTGTCTTGAAACTTCACACTGTGTGCCCGCCCGATTGTCGTGTAACAGAAGTAATAGAACCAGTCGTGAAGGGTTAATTCTTTTATTGACTTACAACATCAAAGTCTGTCAGTGTTCTTTGTTTTTATACTTTCTCATCATGAAACATTAATATATGTGTCATAGATTTGTCATCATTTTTAAATTAATGGCAGCATTGGTCATAAACATGTGGCCTCTAGAACTTAGCCACTGAGATAGGTGGAGGAGTAAAAGCAGATTTACAAAATCACCAGTTTTTTTAGTTTGTGTCCCTTAATTTTTCATGCATTCCTTTATTCCACAATACGTTTTCTTATATATAGTTTTTTTCTTTTTTTTTTTTTAATTTTATGTATTTATTCACGAGAGACGCAGAGAGAGAGGCAGAGACACAGGCAGAGGGAGAGGCAGGCTCCCTGCAGGGAGCCTGATGTGGGACTCAGTCCTAGGACCCCAGGATCACACCCTGGGCCGAAGGGAGGCACTCAGCCACTGAGCCACCCAGGCGTCCCTCTTATATATATTGTTAATGTTAAAACTAATTTATCTTTCTGAACATACATAACCTTTTATGAGAAGAACAGGAAGCCTAGTCAACATTAAAATATTCCTCTCCACTAATCACACACAAATATAACATTTATAGACTTATTAATAGATTATTAGTGCTCAAAAGAACTTTATTGTGCAGCTCCTATGTTCAAATAAAATCTTACCAAGAAGCCAAATACATAAAATGGATGCAAAGTAAAGCTGCTGGAACTGCTTCAGATAAAACACAAGTGAGGAAGCTAGCAGCCCTTATTCTAATCCAACTCTCTTTTTTCTTTTGTTAAATTGCAAAACTTCTTGGGATGCCTGGGTAGCTCAGCGGTTGAGCACGTGTGATCCAGGAGTCCGAGGATCAAGTCCCACATTGGGCTCCCTGCAGGGAGCCTGCTTCTCCCTCTGCCTGTGTTTCTGTCTCTATTTCTCATGAATAAATAAATAAAATCTTTAATTAATTAGTGTTACCAACCAATCAACAATAAAGTTATCTTAATTTGCAGGTCCTGATTATTAGTGAGGGATGAGCAGTTTTCATATATATTTATTATTCAAATGCATATGTTTTAGGCATCTGATTTTTTCACCATTTTCTAGTGAAAGAACTAAACTTTCTCTGTTTTTGTGTGTATGTGTGAGAATTCTGTGTCTAGAATTCTTTTTGTTCCATCGATCACTTGTCCACTCCTGTGCCATATGTTTTAAATACTGTAGTTTTCATTGTATGCCTTAATAGTCACAAATTCCCCCATCATTAAGCTTTCAGATTTTTCTTGGCTCTTCCTGAGCATTTTTTACTTTTTCAAGTGAGCTTGAATTTGTCAGTTCTATTTTTAAAATCCCCTTTAGGATTTTAGGCTTTCAGTTTAGGAAAACTATGTCACAACATTGAATCTATCCAAAGACTAAAATATATGTACCTTTCTGGTCTTCTCTTTCTGTAAAGCCTTCGTTATTTTAATTGTATACATCTTGCATATTTTTGCCAAGTTTATTGCTTGATATTTCACACTTTTAATTTTGAATGAGGATCTTTTTTATTGTTACATTTTCTACTGGAGGTATTGTTTGCACATAACAATACTTTTACTCTCTTACCTCCAGTCATCCCACTGAGCTCTTTTTAATAGTTCTGTTATTAACTGATTCACTTCGATTTGATCGGCAGTCATGACATCCACATCCACATAGTTTTTCTATTTGCCAGTTTTTCTTTTTGCCAGTATGTATACCTTTTAATTCTTATCCTTTTCTTATTATATTGGTTAGAACTGCCAAGAATATTATGATACTGGCACTTACTCCTTGCTTTTTATTTTACAATGAAAAGTTAGAAGCGTTTCTATTAAATGTTAGAGCTTGCCTTATAATTAGAGATAGTACTTTATCCTGGAGTTTTTTTTTTCTTGTTTAATCTAATAAAGTATTAAATTACTCTTAAAATTTCAAATTATTCAACCATATGGGCATTTATCATTAAATCCTACTTTATTATAATGTGTTATTTTAGTTCACTACTAGATTTCACTTGGTAAGTTTGCTCTATGTTTGGTTCTCGTGCACCTTACCTGGTTTTGGTATCAGAGTTAGACTATTCTGGCAGAAGCTTTGGAAATGCTTCCATTTTTTTTTCTGGGTCCTAAATAATATTAGCATTATCCCTTCATTGAACCCTTGGTTAGAACTCCAGGAAAACTGGGCCTGATACTTTTTCAAGCAAGATATTTTCATTGTAGCATTTTTTAAAAGCCTCTTTTCAATGTTTTCTTTCATAAGGTTTTTTAATAATCTATGATTTCAAAAATAAATAAAATAAATAAAAAAATAAATAAAAATAAAAAAAATAATCTATGATTTCCTAGAAAATATCCACTTAGATTTTGATTTATTGCTAGAAAGTACATTATCTTAAGATAGCAACTTTCATTGTTTAACTTTTTGTGACATAGAAAACGATTGAAAAACTAGCATCAAAAATTTTTGTGTACAGTTCACTCATTTTCCAAATATCAATGTCTTATGTCAGGCTATCCTACTCAGTAGACGTGGGTGAATTTTAGAGGCAGTAGGGGGGTCTAAGAAACAACACAAAACGCTCCCTAAGCCCTCATCTGCCCAGATCACAGCCCAACCAGGCAGAAGCAAGACGTCAGCCAGGCCTGGGCTGCCCAGACTTCAGGCAGTTGTCTGCTTCCAACAGAACATCTCCATGTCTGTGTCAATGTGTGGGGTCAGGTTTTTTTTTTAACTCGTCTAATTCTTTAACTTAAAATGTATATGAAAAACAATTTCAAATATTACTGTAAATGAAATATCACTCTCCCTTTTAATATTTGTGTACTCCTATAAAAAAGTCTGTCTATTTACTACCGGAAACAGTGCTAGATACCACACTCAGAAACAGTGGAGTGGGTAGAGAGGGAACAAGACCCAGACTGGTCCCTCCCGTGGAGCCGAGACGTGACACGGAGCCCTGTGTAACATGAGAAGGCCGCCCTTTGAACAGCATGGGAAGTCATCACAGATTGACAAATCAGGACAAGACATTCCAAGAATGGAACAGCATTTAGAAGCCACAAAGGCAAAAGCACGCAGAGTCTATTTAGGCATCAGTAGATGTCAAACCAATGGTGAAGTTGCTAGAGTACGCATGGTGTCCTGTGCTGTGCTAAGGAGTGCACACTGCATCCTGAACGTGGTGTAGCTTTTTTAAATCAACACATTGAATAAAATCCGCCGGAGGGTCTACCAGCTACTGCAGTTTCCAAGTAGTGAGACCTGTAAGTGGTATTTCAAGAAAGCTGCAACTAGAATATTCTATGAAAATACGTAAAATATCTATTGGTGGCAGGGCCCCGGTACCGGTAGGGCCTTGTTTTTATGTTTGCCATGCATGTTCGCAGACTGCCTGAGTTCTACCCCTGATCCCTGTGGTGCCCACTGGCTCCAGATGAAGAACTCCCTTCGAGAGAGCTCTCCGACTCAGGAATTATCCCAACTGGAAGCAGGATGCAAGGGAGGAGGTCCTCATCCACATCAGTGATGTGTGTGTATGGCAGTGAGGACCAAAGGCAGAGGCACATCTGAGAGAAGCTAAGGAGGTAGAGCTCACCCAAGAG